GTCACGTGATATTTCTGCTTACGGGCACGTACCGATCACGTGACGATAATTTGGCGGTACTAATATAATCACATATTTTTCTACTTTAATCTTTATAGAGACAAATATAACTGATAATATAAATTACTTCTATTACGGTAAAGCGATCCTATTAAAATGTTTGTTAATCATGTAAATTTACATAATATGTATAAAAATTCACAATGACCATTTTGAGATTAAATTCACTATGTATATCGAGATTCAAAAGTTTGTTATAACTTGTATTTATATATAATATCGATACATATATAACAATTCTTTAATACGTACAGCAATAGACACTGAAAACAGCTTTATTTTGACGATGACTTACAATAATACATTATAAATTTTCCTTTTGTAAGTATTTATGTTCATCATCTTCTTTCTTAAAATGGGCAATTCTTGAAATAAACAAGTTCTTCCACATCTTGCTTTGTTCAGAGCAGATGTCTTCCCAACCACTTGCAATAGGAGGAACGGGTACATTAGGTTTAAGTTTCATAGCTATAAAGTGTTGTTTTTCATGAATATAGGCGAAGACTATCGATGCATTTCTGTTCAAAGGTGCATTATCAGGTAAAAATGTAATAGAAATATGTCTGCTAAAGTAATGAACGGGTCGTTGAAATGCATTAGCAATAATGTAACCAAAGGAGGGCATGAACATCCAGTGATCCCTGTTACAGGGGCCAGCTTCCCATTGTGTTACAAATAAGGTTCGATTATACTCCTTTTCACCTTCCAAAAATAGCTGTATATAATGTGATTTTCGATTACAAAGTTCATCATAGATGAGTTTTCGAACATCTGGCCAACATTCTTCAGATTTTTTAACTGACAAAGCAATAGCGCGGAAACCGCAATTACCATCTCCAGTTACGTCAAAATATGCTGAGACATGTTCTCGCATAAACTTTGGAATATTCGCCTCATAGAGTTTATTATCTGAAAGATATGTATCATTAAGTTTTTGTTTTATTAATGAATTTTGTTGCTGAATATTTTCACTATTAGGCTTTAAAATCTTATTCAACTTTTTTTTTTTCTTTGCAGCATTTTCTTGGTGCTCGCTCAGGAGTAATCCTCGTTTGGTGCCAGAATAACGACCCTTTGGTACTGCTTTTTGTGGGGGCTTGATAGGCTCAGGTAGCGGCATATTTGTCACTTGATTAAGTTTAGTAACGAATTCCCGTTTAGTGATATTATCTGGTAATTGCTTAAATTTTTCCTCTGCTTTAACAAAAATATCATAAAATTCAGAATCAACGGCATCAGACTTTGAAGGACGTGGAAGCTCGATGATGTCAGGCCTTTCAAGAAGCCATCTTCTATTAATGATCGAAAGAGGAATTGGACCATTTGTTGGAATCATATGTATACAAGGCAATTTATAATTAATCTTAGTTAAGCATTCACAAGCTTCAGCATTTTCATGCATATTGGGTTCATTGGCCATTGATTGTAACATTCTTTTGATTTTATCAATTGCCCATGTTGACACATAACCGATAAGTTCACTGAATTTAGGATTGCGAAGTATAAATGGATCAATTGCCGCTTTGTTGGAACCTTGACGCATTGATGCTTTCAGGTGCTGCATACGCATAGTTTGATCAATTTGGCGGAAAACACTTTCTAAATCAGTAGCCATTTCAATTGCTCGTTTGAATGCACTATGGGATGACTCTGCTCGCCCAGTAGTTGAAATCCCCATATGACAGTATCGTTTTGTATAAGCCAAAATCCACTTTTCCGAATCTTTCATCCAGGTCTGAATATACGATATTGCCTTTTCATAATCACGCGCTTTTTCGGCAGCTTTCTTTACTGCATTTAATGATTCGTAAATTTTTTCTTCATCTGAAGTAAAACGAAGAGCCTCAACTTCCTTTTTAAATAGTTCATAATCATTCCCATTTTCAAAAAGTTTGTGACAGTTCGTCTTTAGGTTCTGTTCCAGAAGGTGCCAAACGCACAGCATTTTGTTTGATCGTGGAAACACTATATCTGCAGCATTTCGTAATGCCTGATCTCTATCAGACATAAAAACTTCCGGCAGGCAATTATATGCATCATAAATATTAGAACGAAGTGTCTGCAAAAACCATATATACGACGCTTCACTTTCATCCTCTATCCAAGCCATCGCGATTTGGTATGATGCCAATACACCTTTCTCATTGCTTATATTGTTAATACCAATAGCACTAACAAGAGGGTACTTATAAATGTTTGTTTTGTAGGTTGAATCTACAATAAGAACTTCGGGACATTTGGCAACACATTTTGCTGATTCGGTATGAAAAAAAAAAAGGTGTGTTAAGTAACCTTTTGCTGTTTTTGAAGGTATTACTACATAGTTGCGTTCTTCAAAGAGCCTTAAAAGCTTCCGCGTAAAATCATCATTGGGACCCTCATTTAATGCAAATCTTATACGGGCACGCTCATTCACAATATCCTTTGGATGAATAATCCCACCATCAACGATCTTATTTGCAGCAGTCGTAATAACACGTGTAGGTGCGTTACTGTCATGTAGTTGTTGAATAAGACGTTTTTGACTTAAATTTTTGGTGCGATGCTGAGGAAGGGTTGCAACCTCATCCAATTCAAGTAAAGGATGATTATGCACAAGTGCAACTTTTGTAACATTCCACACTATCTCATCTTTTGTGACATCCGTAGTTAAATGACGTTTTATTGCAACGGCTCTAATGTACACAGGACAACCTACACGTTTAGTCTTTTTTTTTCTTTTTCGAGTTTTTTCTTCTATATTCCAGTTGTTTCGCCATTCTCCACCTTTGGTACATTGCAAGATGACGAAAGGTGATTTACCTCCGCGTCCTGTAAGGTTGCTATCTTTCCTTGAGAAAGCGAACCCGTTAGCTTTAGCAGATAAGTTGGCTGCACTTTCAAGTGCTTCTAAAGATTCGAACGTATCATTTACTTTAAGTATAGTGGGCTCCATTATTGTTCATATATACGGATAAGTTTATATGTAATTTTATACGAACACTTGTAACATCAATATATAAAACGATCAAAGTTTAAGTAATTTATTAACATAAGGTGGGTATATTTATTTAACGAAGAAAAAAAAGGATCAAACGATAGGTAAGAATTTTTTGATTTTATAAATCATAAAGTTTAAAATGATGAACATTTTATTACATCATTATATATTGTAATTTACATACAGTATATCGAATCATGGATATAAAAAAATCATACTTTAATTTTATAATTAATTTTCACTGGGCGGTTAGAAATGATCACTTCATTTTACAAAGATTAGTTAATGACGAAAGAAGGCAAATTTATAGTACTTTTTTTTTTCTTTTAATGTCGTTTTGTGAAGAGTAAAATAGAAAAAAAAGTATTATGCCTTATGAATATATAGACTGCCGTCAATTGAAATCAAGCAGATTGTCATTTTAAAAAAAAAATTAATATCTTAAATTTCGCTACTCATATCTTGATGAATTTCGAAGTTATTCTCATGATTGAATAGTCAAAAGAAAGCTTAAATCTTAAGCTTTCAGTTAACTATTCATTCATAAGAATAGCTTCGAATTCATCGAGATATTAACAGTGAAATTTAAGGTATTGATTTTTTTTAAAATGTCAATCTGCTTGATTTCTATTGACATATTGTCAATCACTTTACTTTTAACGTAATAAAAAATATGATCGATAACACTTGTAAAGAGTAATATATTAAAATCGGAAATTATGAATACTTCTTACCTTTATTGTATTCATATTAGGTTGATTGAGACATCTAATTAAATTGCTAATTTACCTATAGCATGCACTTTGTTGAAATTATATTTCTATAACTATGTTGGTACATTTACTATCACGTGATCGGTACGTGTCCGTAAGCAGAAATATCACGTGACC